TTCCTGCGTGGACAGAGCGGACACAATCGGCTGTCCGTGATACAGTTGTTCCGCGGTCTGCTTCTAAGCAAAAACTTACGCAGTTTTCTTTTTTTTAAACGCTGTACAGTCGCAGAGAGCCAAATCGTTACTGCATGGCTAGTTGCGTGCAGCGCTTCGCTCACTCTACGCACACCGTGACAGCCGATCCGCTTGCTGCACAAATTTGACGACTAGCCTGCTGGGTTAACGAGTCACCGAAGAGCTTTCCGCAAGCAATGTGTTCTCCGACATGCTCTAGCAGTCCTGGTAGCGGACGAAAGCGCATTTGGGCTGTCACTAAATAAAAGTGTGCAGCACGGTAACAGCAGCCCGCTTTACGGTGTGCGTGTTGGCATAATACAGCAATGTTTCTTGGTGCCCGCGATCCACAACGCTAAACTCCGTGACAGCGAGCTGCTTGAATTTTTGTAAAGTGGTGCGCACTTGAACACGCTCCTGCAAAACGAAGCGGTAGCGATCGGCGGCCCAGCGCGTTCAGGTATAGCGGCCCACTAAACGCGTGAAGTAGGCCTAAAGTGACGCTACGCCACACGTGTGCCTGAGCAAATAACCGCGGATGCTTACTGTGATAAGGCTTTTCGACTGCGATAAGTCACTCCGGCGCGTTTGACGGTGGTTGCCACCTCGCCTTCGTTGCTGCAATCGCGCGGAACTTATTGGCTGATCTCCGCTCGCACCAACATGACGGAAAACCGTTCACGGCACATTGTGGCGTCTGCAAGTTCAGCGGAGCAGTAAAATTTTGTCGTGCAAAATATTATTGCGGTACGCAGTTAGTGCGCACTAACCGGAAGGCATAGGCCGAACACTACGGCTTTAGCGGTCCGCGAACGCATTAGTCTCTCTGAGACTCGGTCGGGGATTCGTCGCAAATAAGTTTTAACCGTTAGTATGCTTAAAGCGGGTACGCACGAGGTTCGACTGTAACTGTTTTTCTGCCAATACCCACTTTATTCATCTGATAAACAAAATATACATCCTTGTTTTTTTCTTTTCCATGGTCATACTGACGGCTTTCAACTCGGGTTTCTTCTCCTATACGATCTCTAAACTTGGCAGGCACACTCACGGAGATTGCCAACCAAGTGGATTCGGGCTCCTTCACATGTTGTAAACAATCCAAATAATGGGCAAAGATTTGGGAAGCTATAAGGTACAACTCTCCATGCTCAGGGTAATCATTCTGTCCTAGTTATGCATTCTCTGAATTCATTATTATTATTATCTTCTAAGCATACTTTGCTTAGAAAAGACATGATGCATGGCAGGATAGGCCTCATGCTGCCCCTGAAGAAAACAAGATGATGTCAGCAACATACAGCAAATGTGAGAAGACTAATGGCGATGAACACTGGCACTTACACATTAACATAACGAAATCAGGAACCATGTGTTCAAAATGACTCTGCATGCTTTTTTGTTAGTTCAAACCTGAAACACCGAATCCACTCATGACATTCAGTGCCGTCAGAATATTTAGATAGTTTGGGACTCTGACCTCATAATACACAGGCCCATCCTGAAAAAGCATTAACAATAAAATCATTAAAAGATGTCAAATTTGTTAGGAACATCAGATTGCTGTGGTGAGCGTACTGCTACTTTTTTATTCATGTATTCATATATACCCTAAAGGCCTGTTCGGGCATTACATAGGGGCCTTTTAGTTGCACAATGAATTTGCATATCAAAACATTGTTACTATATAATGAAAATGGTAAACAGAGTAAAATACTTCCACAGACAAAGATGCAAAAGCGGAAAAAATTGGTGACATGAATGAAAACTCAAGAAAAGAGACACGGCTATAGTGTGAAAAAGTATTAAAAAATATACAGAAAATTGCCATGAAAAAAACAGTGAAAGAAGAGTAATAATAAATACATACATGCACATACAAACACGTGTAAATCGGTCAGTCAAATGTCCAAGAAAATATTCAACTCGTTGACAAAAGCAGCGTGATCAATGATGGAAGCAATGTTCCCCGGCGTGTCCCAGTGATGTATGACTCGAAGTAATGGTGATTGTTGATGCATATTTGTGCGTGCAAAGTAAGGCTGTATTTTGAATTGGTGATTAATACGTTTGGGAATATTGTGAGCTGTGTTTGTGTGGGCTTCACAAAATCGGGATTTACTGTGATAAAATGTATGAAAATGTGACAACAGTCACGACAGTCTACGTTGTTCAAGAGGGGGTAATGAAAGTGAGTGTTTAATATCTGTAAAGCTGTAGTTTCGAGAATACTACTTGACAATAAATCTTGATGCTTTATTTTGTGTTTATTCTAGTTGATCAATGAGATATGATTGATGTGGGTTCCAGATGATGGATACATATTCAATCTTTAAAAGAACAAGTGTAATGTACGCTAGCATTTTAGTGGTAGAGTTCACCAAGTACAGGTTTCTTTTAATAAATCTTAGTGTTTTTAATGCCTTACTAGTTATGAAATCTATATGCTCATTCCATAACAGGTCAGACTGTTATGGAATGACAAGTAGACTGTTAAGTATCTCAGAAATTAATTCTGAGATACTTAAACATGGATACTATTTCAATGGGGACACCTTGAACTTTATATTGGCTCAGTTCTATTTTATTTGCTCTTGTAAATGTCATGGCCTTAATTTTGGAGGTGTTAATTTGCATTTGCCAATGGTAACACCAAGTTGAAATTTTATTAAGAGTGAACTGTAATGATTCATTAGGTTGGGTGCTGTCAATTTTTCTGTAAATAATGCAGTCATCTGCAAATAATCTGATTGTAGATGATAAACCATGTCCAATGTCGTTGATGTAAATGAGAAACAAAATTCGTCTCAGGACTGATTCCTGGGGAATACCATACTTTACAAGTGAAAGTGAATATGTATGTCCATTGTATGACCACTCGGGAGATCCCAGTTTACCTTCGATTGTGAACCATTTTTTATTAATGGTCTTGTGTTACCCGACATGCATCTCAGCATATGTAAATAGACAAGGTTTTTAGGGACGAAGCTCCTAAATGCATGGGTCAGTCTATCCCTTGTATGTACATGACCAACTATAGTTTCACATTTGCCAACTGCCCACTAATTCATCCTTGCAAACATCCCACTACGCCCCATCACTGATCCACCACTTCACCAACCATAAAGCAAATACCGTTAAGAAGAAGCCAATATGAAAAGCAAGATGATCGTGTACTTGTATCCAAGTGTGCGTTAAAGAATCATAGATTGTCCCCCTGTGTCCATTTCTTGTTTGTATGTGACCGCCTATAGTTCCACCTTTGCAAACTGCACACTACTTCGTCCTTGCAAACATCCCACCCACTACACCCCATCACCGATCCACCACTTCTCCGGCCATAAAGCCATTATAATGAAGGGGGAATGGAAGCGACATATAGGTACCACTTACGAATAATTCAAAAATTTCTTGTATAAATATATACAGTATAACGTCTTTGATGATGTAGTGGGCGATATTCGTGGATGATTCACAGTTTAGCGATGAAACCCTAAAGTCCTGCGTCTCACTCATCATCATTCACTCCGGGGATATCCTGTGATTTTTTTTTTTTTGCCAAAGTACGATTCTGTTGAACTATAGTTTCATCAGTAATATGATGTACTTAGATAAAATATGACGGGCAATACTTTGTGACAATCACTGTCAACAGTGAGCTGGACCCCAGACGTGTGCTCTCTAGACTCCACCAGCACTATTTGTTTGATCAGCATATGAGTTATGGAAGTCTATTTGCCAATTCGAATGAAAAAGACTAAAGAAAATGTTCAAGAGATTGCCACTAGTTTGAATGCTTGAGCAGTGGTGCATATTTTGCTTAAAAGAGACATGATGCATGGCATGGTAGACCTCATGCTGCCCCTCAATAAAACATTATCATGTCAGCAACATATATCAAATATGAAAAGACTAATGGTGATGATGCAGACATGCTCAGTTATTGCCACTACACAGAGTGGAAAAGCTAATTTAGGACTGGACTGCTGCCACAGCTTGAAATGGACTGTGTTAGATTATAAATGTGATGCAAACGCCATCTATACTTAGTGGGAAAGTGTCCAGTGGGCTTCAGCCCATTGTTGCAGCTGCTGGTGCAACATTCTTCAAGGTGTGTATTCTACACTGCTATGGCATCTACAGTGACTGAAGGGTAGAATTCTCAACAGCCATCCTGTTATTTATACAAGCTGCAAGTCCTCACAGTACAATATGAACTTTCCAGTCCTTACAATTTTCGCATGAAGAACTTTTGAATTCCAGCAGCAATATAGCGAACATCGGAATGGCCATACAAGTGAGTCATCACAGCAACTGCTGTAAATGTTTGATCTGCAGGTGAACCATCTCTTATCAGCCAAGACAACTGCTACTAGTGCCCTTCAGCAGATTCATTCACATTTTTTTTTTGGAAACACCACATGTGGAGCATTATTCCTAGAGTTGGAAATGGTGTTGCAGCTATGGCTTCAATTTTCTTTAAACTTTAGGAGCTCAGATTAAGCATGTTTTAATATTACAAAGCACAAGATATTAAGAATGCAATGATGAAATTTTTGCAATGACAGTTTTGATGAAATCAGCATTATCTGGTGCATCAAAGCAATTCATTTTCAGGTGTTAGTCGCTGAGAATTACAAGAATGATGCCAATTTAGCATAATTTAGTAACCAATTGCTTGTTAAAGCAGCTCTACATGTCAGTGCCGCTTCAATATTTCTGCTACGCTTTGGAGCAAGTTTACTTTCTACAGCAATAAGCTTTTGTGTCCCACTGGCATGGTGGTCTAGTGGTTATAGTGCTTGACAGTAGACTCGCAGGTCATGGGATGAAATCCTGGCTGCCGCATTTTCGATGGAGGCAAAAATTCTCGAGGCTTGTGTAGTTACGTATAGGTGCACAATAAAGAACCCCAGATGGTCGAAATTTCCAGAGCCCCCTATTAAAGCGTTTCTGAAAAATATGCTGGTTTTGGGATGTTAGACCACAATTATTATGTAACGTTGTCTCTTGAAGCATCCCACTAAACAGTAGTTGTTCATGACTTATGTTCTGCACATTGTGCACAGCATTGAAAATTCTTGAATAAATGGTGTTTAACAGTGTCCCAATTGATAGGACATTACATTCAATGCAAGGCATACTATCAAAAGCTATACCGAGTCGCACTCACCGAGACTGCACCATTTAAGCACATAACTGCTCAAGCTTATGTGCAGTGCTGTGCAACAGCCTGAGAAGTAAGTGGTCTTCCGACTTTTGAAGACAGTAACAGTAGGAAAGGCTAACAATGAGTCATCTTTAGTCGCGTCCATGAGTATCTCCTGTAGAGTTTGTTCAGCAGTTGGGCGTCAAGTCATCATCATAAGCAGGCTATATTATTGTCCACTGCTGGCCAAAAGGCCTCTACTAAGAGCATCCAATTTACAGTTTATGCAAATGACAAGAGCAACTATACCATTAAAAGATGTTTGTAATTATTGGATAGTTGGTGGGTTCAGGCGACAAACGGTCACATGTACATAGCTCAACAGCAGCCTATACGACCAAAATGCACTTGGTTCCTCTCCACGGGCTTTCTTTTTCCTTTCTCAGGGCAACAAAACACCAAAAATCTTTCTGAATAACAAAACCACAGAAAAAATGTTACTTCAAAGGGAGATGTCCTAGCCTCCTACATGTATCTAAGTGTAAATATTTACGCACATGTAAACCTGTCAACCTTAATAATTATGGTGGGGTCAACTCCCCCAGACTTCACTCCAATACCGCACCCCTCATGGCAACGTTTATGATAAATAAGGTGTTCAATTAACACTATTCTTATCTTATTAAAAAATGCTTGCAGAAAGAGCTTCTGTAAGGCTTATGCAAGTAACTGATGCAAGTTTCAGTGGTATGGTATTGACTAGAGCTTTTTACATCAGTAGAAGAGACCAAAACATACGAGATACGGTAATTTATCGGCCATAGATTTCTTACAACTCTCCGAGCTCTCATAAATATGCCTGCTAGAAATTACACAGAATATGCACACAATTCACATGAACTGAGTAAGAACTAAGCATCCAAGGTTCGGTGAAATGGTTCAAGAAATTAGCTCAGCTGTTTGATATTGAATACAGGAGCTCCAAGAGTCACTATAAATTCAACACGGAAGCAAAAAAAAAAAACTTTATCAAGACAGTTCCTACAGAAGAGAGGGCAGTGGTGATTTTCAATCCTCTTAATATGGGAGAAAAAAAAAAAAAAGAAACGGGTACTGCTGCTATGTAGAACTGATGGCACAAATTAAAAAAAAAAATGCTCGGTCTACTCAAGTTTCTGCAACAAAGCACCTTCAGCTGTAGTGCAGATCCTGAGAAGCTTTTTCATTAGCAAAAATTTTGATAGCAGTTTTTTCAATTAGAACAACAGTCTAGCGCGATGCTGTGTAGGCCCATCGTTCACGGATCCGTGACTTCAAGGATCTCATCTTTCAAAAGTGCTTTACGGACAGCTTCGCCCTTCGATGCCAAGATTTCTTCGATGTTCCTGTAAGTAGACAAAACAGCATAAAACCGTACATAGAATTAGCACAATTTGCAAAATGTCCATGTTACACGAAAAACAAGTTAGAACAGTTTATTTAAATGCTTCGAAGCACGCTATTTTAGAATGTACATAATAAATCAACTTACATTATATGACCATAAAATTTACCAGTCCCAACTTAAGCACTTCAGCATGTGAAGCACTCGAAAAAAAAAAATGTCAAGGCCTATATTATCTTTTTTAGTTCGTTATAATTTATCAACATAATGTGCACTCTAACAACATCTGACAAACATATTATTAAATGCCATTATATTTCTCTTTCGCAGCAGAATAGCCACCATGAGCGTGTTCGTAGAAGGCCAGGAATTGTTTTTTTTTCAATTTTGTGGTTGGGAACTGCGTCGCTTAAACAATAGGCGAGCAGCTACATTCGCACTGCTCACAGCTACATTGTAATCCAATACCACTGCAACAAGATTGCATACAAGATAAGTGACCAAAGTATACTTGTCGCGCATTCTTTAGGTATCTCTTCTTTCGATCTGTTTTTAACTAAATTAACTCCTTTACTAGTCACAATCGTGAAAACGTACCTTTTGCCTTCGAGTTCGGGAAACCAGCCCAGGTTATCTGCAATGAGGTGGTGCTTGCTGCAGCCGTGGCACTTGACGATGACAACGCCCTTCTCATAAGAGACCTTCGAAATTAGCTTGGTAACTCGTGTTGAACAGAGTTTGCAAAGGAACGACAGCAGCATACGGCCTTGGAGTTTGGCAACAGGCACCCGTATCTCGTCATTACTTTCGAACAACGTAGACCCACCTAAAGTTTGAGGGCAAGATTTAGCATCAGTAGCCGTGGACAGCGTCTTCACACACACAACCCGAGTGGTCCTGTGGCAATGAACCTGATCGCAGTTGGCACCCCAGAAGAAGGATCTTCGCAATTTGTGATGATGGCCCTCTGCAGCGGCACGCACGCACCCAGCACAGCAACGTTCACACTGCCTCCAAGGCACGTTGGGGGCTCGCAGGCAGAGAAGCAGACTTCGAACAAACATCTTGCCCATCAACTTCGACATCTTCCAAAAGCCAATGTCTGGAGAGAGCCAACGTACGTGCTGCTTTCAATCCAGCCTGATAGGCACCATATTCGATTTGCACGCGGTTGCAATGACGTCAATGATGACGCAACGCATCTCTTTTATTACCGCCTCCTTTCTTTCAATGCCGCCAATGTTAGCGTAAAGAAGGAAACATTCATTTTGATAAAAAATTATCTTATTTCTTCCGCGGGGTCCAGTAAAATAGGACGAGTTAGCAGAGGTAAAGTGTACAGAGCTTTTTTCCCTGATTGTCCTCGATACGTCGGCGCGCCGCCACCGACAGTTTTTGTTGCGCCGACGACGCCAGCTGATCGGCGCGTCGCCGCCACTGCTACCAATGGGTTTTCTCGACGAGCCATTTATGTACTACGATTAAATTTTTTTTAGTATACCTGCCTTTAATCTCGCAGTTTATTTTGTCACTAGTAAATTGCTGGTCCTTTCTCAATTCTAATTGCTATTAGGAGAAAGACCGCGCGTGATCCCAGGGGCGTAGCCAGAAGTTTTTTTCGGGGGGGATTGACATTAACCCGACGGGTGGGGGGGGGGGGGGGCATAGGCATCAGCTTTCTTCCGTGACGTCACTATCAGAAGTAGTTTAAACAGATGGTGTACATGTATATCAAGTGATAAGATTCCCGCTATCCCCATGCGTAAGGTTGTGAAGAGAGTAATTAAGTAAAAGTACTGTAAGCAGGATTGATTGCTATGTGGGTTTAACGTCCCAAAACAACCATATGATCACGAGAGACGCCATAGCGGAGGGCTCCGGAACTTTAGACCACCTGGGGTTCTTGAACGTGCACCCAAATCTGAGCACACGGGCCTACAGCATTTTCGCCTCCATCGAAAATGAAGCTGCCGCAGCCGGAATTTGATCCCACGACCTGCGGGTCAGCAGCTGAGTACCTTAGTCATTAGACCACGGCGGCGGAAATACCGTAAACGACTGGTGCAGTGATCGTTTGGAGCAACAGCCCCTCGTCGCACCATTGAATTGACAGTCTTCGAAAACTCATTATTGCGATGACCCACCGGATTGGAGAAGACATCGTTAACCTCTGTTAAGCGTAGATGGCGTAATCCTCGTCGGGACGAAGTGCGTTTCACAGGTCAAGGACGGTTCGGCTTACGACGAGGAATGAGAGGTATACGCAGCATGTTTTTGTGCATTCATAATTACATTTTGGTCTGCTTATTACTCTGTTGAGTGAACTTCTTACTGGCGATGTCTGTGACTGTATGTCTATGGAAATTATTTTTATGTTAGTCTCTATATGTCAAGCAGCCCTGACACAGTGATAGCTCTTAGTCGACTTTTTTTTTTTTTTACTTTACTGCGTGCATCCATGCATGCTTGCGATTTTTTTTTTTTGTAGAATATGCTGAATGCACGTTGGCAACACGATTTCGCACACGTTACTTTTTGGGCAGACGTTCAGTTGCACTGTGACTTTTGATAGCAATGAAGTACTTCAATCGTAGAGGTTTTATCGTGCAATCTGCGACGACAAGTTGATAGGTGATAAGTTTTCCCTTGGTATCAATTGAAAGTGCACGTACGACCGGACTATACCTACTCACATAAAAATATCTTGTTCGCTGCGTATATGCGCTAAAACTCCTAAATACGTGCGAAAAACGGAGAATGTTCTCGCTTTTTTTTTTTCGTAGCTTTCGTCACTCGGCTCCCTGAAACGACAGCGTTGCACCAAGGTGTGTTCCCTTGTTTGCAAGCGTGCAGCCGACATTTCCCTTTACATCAACACATTCATAACTGTACAGAATATTTCACCGTGTAGCATATGTGCATTCATGTTTTTAGCATTTACACCGGTGTGTACAGGAGCTGCCTCGAACCACACAAAATCTTCAGTGATCGGTTAACCAGGGATGAAGGAATGAACTACGGAGTTGCTCAGATCATAGTGCACTATAATCAATTCCTCAGAACGCGTGAACTCTGACGAGAACTGCCAGCGCATTACCCTCGAGTTTGCTTACACTCTGTACTGTGCCCCGACTATGCCTGTTCGTTGTCTGTTTCGGGCATTCTGATGAGAGTCGCTGGAATTTCATTGCTGCCACGAACTCCTTCGCGTTCATTCACAATTGTGGTATTTTATCACAACGCGACAGAAACTACCAGCCTTCCGTATGGGCTCCATCACAAACGTGAGACGTCTCGCACGCAGAGTAAGATACTAGGCGAGCGCGACCTTACCGACACCTGAAATGAAGCGGACGAAATGTACACCCGTGAATCTTTCTGCCAGGCGAGAAACGAGCGCTAGTGTTTAAGGCAGAACTTTACCAGCCGACATGTATCGTCACTAAAGTTCTCGTTTCTCGCAATGAGGGTCACTGCCCGAACTTTGCTGAATGCGTTGCTTCCTATAGCAATTCGAACACAGCACCTTGAAATATGCTGCCTACACATATTGCTAGGTAGTTCGTGTCCTCAGTAGATCAGCGCCCTTCTATGAGACCAGATGGTCGCGCCGAAACGCCGTACGGTGTAACGCTTGATGATCATTACTCGAAAGACGGGTGCTGCTCTATAGTGCACACTTGACAACTGGCGAAAATGAGGATGCCGCTTGTCACAGGTAGGAAGCTTCGTCGAAGTAACGGGCCAGTGGCTAGCGTTGAATAGCACTTAAGGCTTTCAGTACTTCTAACCATTTCTGGACTATTTATTATACCAGTTCAATGAGAGCTTTAAAAAGAATCGACACACCGTGACGATGCTTTCTTCCCTTCTGCCACATAATATTCCCGAATCTGCCACTCTTCCCAATGCCGAGAATTTTGCTGACGTGTACTCGAACATTATCTCAACTTCGGCATTGCAAGGGGAATTTGCAGTGTGGGCTGCGAAATGGAAGCGAGAAACGCTGAGCATGTCTACGATGCAAGCAGTTGCCCATTGCCCAGAGGTATTCTTCCCAAACGTGCACCATCTTTTAAAGATTTTCTCAACTCTGCCAGTGAGCACAGCTGAAGCAGAACGCTGTTTTTCATCGCTGAAACGCCTAAAGTTATACCTGAGAGATATAAAACGACAGATGTAAGATTGTTTGGCATCGCTCTCTGAACATCCATCGTGAAATAGAAGTCTGTCCGGACGATATTCCTTCGGTTCTTTACCGGGAACGTAGACGGCTTCAGCAGAATATGTGTGTATATCACCCATGTAGGCGCCTGCTAAAAATCAAGAAAGAAAGTTAACTGAAGTTAATCTTGGATTGAGATTTTCTGAACAACAGTAAAAAAATTGTTGTTAATGATCAGTTGATGGGGTTTAACATCTCAACACCACGATATTATTACGAGAGACGCCATAGTAGGGCGCTGCGGAAATTTTACCACTTTGATTTAGGCGCATGTTAAAGAACCAAAGTGCACGGGCCTCAAGCATTTTCGCCTACATCGAAAATACGAGAGGGATTCGATCCCTGCAGGTCAGCAATAGAGCACCATAACCACCGGACCACCATGACGGATAGTAAAAAAAAAAAGACGGTTTTGGTAAAATCAGTATGTGCTATTTTTCACACTGATGTAAGAAAGGAAGTTGAACTGTACGAGACGTATTGCTGAAAATAACTTTGACAGCATGGCATAGTGATTGCGTCCTCTTCCGCTGCCTACTCCTTGCTTTTGAGTGGCACCTTTCACTCGCACGGTTCACGGATACGAAAGGTGTGAACGGCAATGCAACAATCCAAATTTGCGTGTGGCAATTCTCGCAAATTTTGGGTAACATATGGGGCATATAATGTGACATGCAATGCGCAGGGTAATCTTCGTGTCAAATGAAAAAGATAATAATCAACAGTATTCCACTATGTAATACGTCTGTTTGCTGCTTGAGACACTGCTTGCACAGAGTTTCTTTCATTTATTGTAAAAAAATCATGGTTACTATGCATATTGCACGTAATGTTAGGCGATGACATGTCCACTCATGTTTCTTCATTCTGGGCCTTTCTTGTCGTGCGTCATGTCACTATAGTTGCAGAAATTGTTCGGTGTGCCCTTCTAGTCATGTCAATGTAAAGAAGGGCACACCTTCTTTACATTTTACAGATGAAGCGAACCACCACGTCGCGTCGCTATCGCAGCGACGTTTTCGTTCGTCTTGAGTGACTTCCGTGTTGCGCCGAGCAATTTCACGGTATTGCGCGGCTCTAGTTGCGAACTCTTCTGGTAGGGAAGTGCTGAACGGAGCTTGTGCGAAAAATGCCGTGTCGAAGACTGAGGATGCAGATCGTTCATACACTAGAAAGAAAGGGCTGTAGCAGGTAGATAGATATTTGTGTTGCGGTATTATATGCGAAGGTTTGATTGATATGTGGGGTTTAACGTCCCAAAACCACCATATGAGTGACGCCGTAATGGAGTGCTCCGGAAATTTCGACCACCTGGAGTTCTTTAACGTGCACCCAAATCTGAGCACACGGGCCTACAACATTTCCACCTCCACCGGAAATGCAGCCGCCGCAGCCTGGATTCGAGCCCGTGACTTGCGGGTCAGCAGCCGAGTACCTTAGCCACTAGACCACCGCGGCGGGGCTATATGCGAAGGTGACAAACAGTAAAATTTTGCCCCGTCTTTTTGATCCCGACATAGGTACCTGGAGATCATGACAGAGAGTGTTCGGTGGAAGCGCCAAGTAAGGCCGTTCGTCTATGAGTGGATTCGGCAACTGCTGTAGCCGTACCGGACCGAAGAGACGCAGTCTCGGCGTATCTTGTCAAATAATCGACTGCAGTGACGATTTAACGGTGACCATTAGACGTCCACGGCAAAGGACCATACAAGTGAATTCCGAAACATTCAAAAGGTGTTGTTGGACAGAGAAGAAGCTGCAGGAAACCGTTGGGTGGAGACGTGGATCGCTTACGGTGCTGACATGACGCGCACGAGCCAACGTATTTGGCTACCGACGTAGGCAAGCCAGGCCAGAAACAGCGGGTTCTGATGCGGTCGTAGGTCTTGCAAAAACCTAGATGGCCAGCAGCAATGTCATCGTGAAATGCTTCTAAAATGCGA